TGATGCCCTGTCACAGACGGTAGTGGGAAGGAGCATTTCTGAAGTAAGAAATCTATAGGAGGAGGAGGATCAGGTGCTCAACTGGCCCTTAGAGAAGGAGTATGTCTTCCATAAGGGCCACTGCAGGAACCGCCACAGCTCCAAGAGCAGGATCACCAAGAAAAAGCAAGAGGCCCTGCATGAGGCAGCGGTAGAAAAGGCTGTGGGAACGACCTGGGACAGGGGTGGGGGTCACCAGCTTCCGAGGGCCAGGATACCGTAAGAATTCACCAGCAGTGTCTGGGTACCGCTTGGAAGACAAAAGTAAGCCAGGGCCAACAGAGAAACCCTGTCTCTAAAAAACCAAAATGAGCTAAGAAGGGGAAAAGTGAGATGCCTACACCAGCAGCACTGTATTTGCTTTCTACTGCTGTGATAAAAACATCACCATCAAAAAAAGCAACCTGGGGAGGAAAAGTTTATTTGACTTAGAGGTTACAGTCCATCATCAGGTGAAGCCAAAGCAGAGGCCGGAGTAATGACACCCACTGACTTGCTCAGCCTGCTTTCTTATACACCCCAGGACTACCTGACCAGGGTGGCACTGCCCACAATGGGCTGGGCCCTCCCACATCAATCACTGTTCAAGAAAATGCCCTGCAGACTTCCTCAACTGAAACTACCTCCTTCTATATAACTTGGTTTGTATTGAGTTGACCAAAAAGAAAAAACAAAACAAAACAAAACTAGCACATACACCAAGAGTCCACTCCCCAAAATATCAGCAGGAAGCTCTCAAGTTCCACAAAAACACATCCAAACTTTCTCTGCCTATATTCACAGAGACCCTGGGTATCACTCTTGGAGAGAGGAAGTCACAGGAAGGAATCTTAGGATCTGAATCAGAAACAGAAAAACAAGCAGAAGCCGGGCGGTAGTGGCCTTTGATCCTAGCACTCGGGAGGCAGAGGCAGACAGATCTCTGTGAGTTCAAGGCCAGCCTGGCCTACAGAGCAAGCTCCAGGACAGCCAGGGGTTACACAGGGAAACCCTGTCTCAAAAAAAAAAAAAAAAAAGAAAGAAAGAAAGAAAAGAAAAGGAAAGAAAAAGAAAAGGAAAAAGAAGCAAATGAGTAAAATGAGCTAATGCTGTGTGGGTACTACATCACTCTATCTGACTGATATTTCACATCACACTCCCCTACCAATACTGAACCCACCTTACAAGCCTCTTACCAAAAGCTTTCTGTAAATTAAAAAAAAAAAAAGCAGTTCCTTGAGATTCACTATGATCTACCCAATGAAAATATTCAAGAATATGTACCTTTTTTTTTTAACAATTTGACAGGGTTTCTCTGTGTAGACCAGGCTGTCCTGGAACTCACATAGATCCACCTGCCTCTGCCTCCCAAGAGCTAGGATTAAAGGCGTGCACCAATCTGAGTGAAAATTTGTACTTTTTAAGTTTTTTGGTTGGCAGGGCATGGTGCACATGCATTTAATCCCAAACTCAGGAGGCAGAAGCAGGCAGATCTCTTTTCTTTTGAGATCTATATACTGGGTTCCAGGCCAGTCAAGGCTACATGGTTAAGACCCTTTCTCAAAAATAAATAAAATTTTAATTTTAATTTTAAAAAATCCAAAAACTCACATCAGTTTAAAAGGCTCTGTTTCCCAGGGTCCAGAACAGTGAACATAAATACTTGTTTGAAAGTAGATACTGAAAAGGAAAAAAAAGGCTCTTGTTCAAGGCTGACCGTCGAGAATAACCAGGGGTGGGGGGAAGGGGTGAGGACAGAAAAAAAACTCTTAAACCTTTGCTTAAGACTGTTCCAGTCAGGCAGTGGTGGCACATGCCGTTAGTCCCAGCACTTAGAAGACAGAGGCAGGCAGATTTCTGTGAGTTTGAGGTCAGCCTGGTCTACAGAGTGAATTCCAGGACAGCCAGGGTTACACAGAGAGACCCTGTCTAGAAAAAAAAAAAAAGACTGTCCCCTTGGCCTCAGTGAAACCCAGTGCCTTCACTGTGATTGGTCCCCAGCTATCCTCTACTTTGGGCTCTTCGTCAGACCTCACCATCCCTCCATCTCCTGCAATAAATATCCAGTTCCTCAATTTCAACAGCTTATAGGTCAGAACTAGTCTGCAATATCAAATTCAACTAAGTCTAAAAACTAAAAAAACTAACCCCAGCCTCCCAATGCAAGCGACAGTGCAGTAAATGAACGTCACTGTTCCAGTCACCCCGATCTGGAACCTCGGAATCTTTGATCCATCCTTCCCCTTCCTCTGCTCCTGCTCCCGACCTCCAATACAACGGTCACCACACTGTAACCTGTCTGTAAGAGGTGGCTGTTTTATAACGTTACAGGGTAAGAAAATGCATTACCTCTGTCGGTTCATCAGATAAACAAGAACCAAGCCCTCAAATTGTGTTAAAGCTAAACTAAGATGTACTACACCAGAAAGTCAAACACCAGCTACCTCTCTACAACCAAAACAGAAGTGTCCGCCCAACTATGGCACAGTGAAATGACGAACCAGGAGGACGGGGAATCAGAACACTGAAGTCATGAGCTCCAGCTATGAGGAAATAGCTGAGTGAGGTTCTTGTCCCACCATTTACCCTTGTTGAACTGACACATCAAATTCAGAAACTGTGGCGATCAAGGGGCCAGACTTCATTATAAAGTGACAGAAGGCTCCATTTCAGCTACCTCTCACACTCTCCAATTACTCAAATGGCACCTGGGCCACACTGATGAGGCTGAACAGTAACTCTCAGTTTCCATTCTGAAACTGAGCCCCAGTCGCGAACCACCCCACCCATCACCTCACCATCAGGTTGATAGTTACTAGAACATGCTAAGCTTCGCTTTCTTCCACTGAGGAACTGAAGAAAGTAACACCTGAGAAGCCCACAGACCGGAGTAAAACTTCAGAAGGTAACGTGAAGCCCTTGGTAGGTGCCAGAGAATCAGATCCTAACAGGCAAGCTTGATGCTCCCCTCAATGCTTGTTGTTGTTGTTGTTGTTTTGGGTTTTTTTGTTTTGTTTTTCGAGACAGGGTTTCTCTGTGTAGCTTTGCGCCTTTCCTGGAACTCACTCTGTAGCTCAGGCTGGCCTCAAACTCACAGAGATCCTCCTGGCTCTGCCTCCCAGATCCTGGGATTAAAGGTGTGCACCACCACTGCCCAGCGGTTTTGGTTTTTTGAGTTTTTGGTTTTCTCTGTGTAGCCCTAGCTGTCCTGGAATTCACTTTGTAGACCAGGCTGACCTCAAACTCACAGAAATCTGCCTGCCTCTGTCTCCCGAGTGTTGGGATTAAAGGCATGCCAAACCACACACCTGAAATACTTTTAATCTCACCAAAAATCTAACCTTTCCTACAAAATTTTCTCAATTTCCTATCATCTCTATTCCTTCCTTCCAAACAGCCCTACCACACAAACAGAGAGCTAGCAGAGTTCTCTATTACCCTCTGTGCTTTATTTTCTGAACCATGTATGAGTAGACGGGCCATTATTTAAATACCCACATCATCAGAGCCTATATTACAGCTGAGTGTTAAATATGCTCATTAAGGCCGGGCGTTGGTGGCGCACGCCTTTAATCCCAGCACTCGGGAGGCAGAGCCAGGCGGATCTCTGTGAGTTCGAGGCCAGCCTGGGCTACCAAGTGAGCTCCAGGAAAGGCGCAAAGCTACACAGAGAAACCCTGTCTCGAAAAACCAAAAAAAAAAAAAAAAAATATGCTCATTAAATGTTTGCTTATTACTACACTCAACAATGTCAACAATCCCAGCTCTGGAGAGTCAGAGGAAGGAGGACCATAAGTTCAAAGACATCCTGATCCACCTGGCAAGTTCCAAGCCAACCAGGGCTACATAGCAAAACCCTGTCTCAAAATAAAACAACTTTAAAAAGGCGTCCAGACAACTTCAGTCAGTAATTAGTAACGCTTCAAAAACAATTTAATCTGGAACTTACAGATTTGAATCCAAATGTAAATTGCATCATCATTTCGATTGTATTCGACTTCGTAGGTCACTGGCAAGCGGCCACACCCACCAATCAATACATACCGGTCATTCTTGCCACCTCCTGAGCCCGGGAGTTCTCAAATATTCAAATTTCTGCCGCTGTGAAAGTCCTTCCCCTCCCGCCCGCACGGTTTGAATACAGCCTAGCAAAATCCACTGCACCATTCTGGGAATGCCCACCGGATGCTCAGAGGCCCTCAAAAGCAGGCTGGCAGCTTCCAACACCTAAGAATGTCCCGCACAAACCCAGGCTGTTCCCAAAGCACCGCGCATCCCTGACAACGGATTCGCGCTTCAGATAACGCCTGACCATTTACACAGAATCACCTAATCACCTTTGGCACTCCAGGGAGAACCGCAAAAGGTGAAGGGCTGGGATGAGGAGTGGCGCTGGTCAGGGGCGTAGGACGCGAGCCAGGGGCAGGTCTTGCGCCGGGGAAGTGGAACTGAAATAAGATCTTGCAAGGACCCCAATGGTCCTTCGCTCCCCACCTCACCTGCAACACCAGGGCCTGCGCGGCCCCGGGCGGGAAGCCCATGCGGTCCGAAGGGTGGCGCAGCAGACGGTAGAAGTCGGTCTTGCGGTAGAGAAAGCCGAAGAGCACGCGCAGAAAGTCCTGGACATTGCCCACGTGCTGCAGGATGCCCAGCAGGGCCTGGTCATAAAGCTCAGCAGCCCCGGGCTCCATGGCTCCGCTGCCCGAGGGACGCGAACTCAGTGGGCACCGCCTCACACTGGCCAATTGGCCCCTTCCGGCGTGCGTGCCTAACGGCTCCCCCGGACAGCGAGGACGCAAAACTTCCGGTCCGCGCTTGTGATTACCGACGGTAACAAATTGTCTGCCTTGCAGCGCTGCTGGATCTCCGCCGCCGCGATATCTGCCTAAAGGAGACTGGTATGTACTCCAGTGTGGTTCCTACACGCAAAAACGGCCGCAGTTGCGGTGCAGAGAGAGCTTACCAGCCATATTTGAAGAGGGCGGAAGCATTGGGTGACGGCAATATGACGTATTCGCTGGAGATGTTGTCACGTGATCTGGGAGCCTTTCTTCTTTCTGGATAAAATTCCTGCCTAGGTATCCCGGGCGCCTTCTCAAAACCAGGGCAACCACGTTTTGTTTGTGAGCCACAGAAAAGGAAAGGAATGTTATTATAAGGTTGTATAAAATTTATATTAATAACAGAGCTACGAGTGAGACTCAGAATGTTGAACCAGAAGAAATTCAAGGTGACCTGAAAGGATAAGAAAAGTGAAAAGCTCAACGAAGGAAAAAGAAGTATGGCATTGTAAAATGTGTATGTCTGTATCTGCATGTATAGTATGTGCATGTGTGTGTATACACATGTCATTTGCAATAAGTGATTGTCAGAATACTACAAATGAGTATAAAGCAGATTCAAAGATTATTTTGAGGCTCTGAATATAGACATTTTAAGAAAACATTTGTGGGCCCGGCGATGGTACCCCACGCCTTTAATCCCAGCACTGGGGAGGCAGAGCCAGGCAGATCTCTGTGAGTTCGAGGCCAGCCTGGGCTACAGAGTGAGTTCCAGGAAAGGCACAAAGCTACACAGAGAAACCCTGTCTCGAAAAACAAAAAAGACAGTTTCTCACTGTGCAGCCATGGCTTGCCTGGAACTCGCTGTGTAGACTAAACTGTCCCCAAACTCACAGAAATCTGCCTGCCTCTGCCTCCCAAGTGCTAGGAGTAAAAGCAAATGCCACCAACAGAGCAAATTACTTATTTTATTTTTTGTTTTTTGTGGTACTGGGGATCAAACTCAGGGTCATGAGCTTGCTAGGCAAGTGCTCTACCAGTAAAGGACATCCCCAGCCTGAATATGTTTTGTTTTGTTGTTGGTTTTTTGTTGTTGTTGTTCGAGACAGGGTTTCTCTGTGTAGTCCTGGTGCCTGTCCTGAAACTCACTCTTTAGCCCAAGTGGGCTTCGGCCTTGAACTCACAGAGATCCACCTGCCTCTGCGTCCCAAGTGCTGGGATTAAAGGTGTGCACCACCACCGTCCAGCAAATCCAAAGAACTTTTATGTCTTACTCATCATTATTCACTATACTGAAAATCAATGCTTAAATGTATTAATTTGTAAATAATCATATACACATATCACATGTCAACATACTTTTTTTTAAAGAATATATTTTATTCTTTGACAATTTAATACATGTATACCCCAATTCCTCCCTCCCTCCCCAGCCCACCATATGTATGTTCTCCTGCCTCTTTTTCTTTTGTTCCCCCCCCCTTTTTTTTTTGAGGTAATTCACTGAGTCGAATTAGCGCTGCTTGCTGTCAACAAACTTTTGTTTTGTTTTGTTTTGTTTTGTTTTGTTTTGTTTTCAGAGCTAAAGACCAAACCCAGGGACTTGAGCTTGCTAGGCAAGTGCTCTACCACTGAGCTAAATCCCCAACCCCTTGTTTTGTTTTTTAAGACGGGGATTTATTGTGTAGCTCCTGCTGTCCTGGATCTTGCTCTGTAGACTAGGCTGGCCTAGAACTCACAGAGATCCTCTGGGATTAAGGATGTGCACCACTATTGCCTGGCAAAAAAAAAAAATTTAAAAAGAAATAGTGTCGATGCTAGAGAAATGGCTTCATGGTTAAGAGCACTTGCTCACATGTAAAACGTCCATGCTAATGTCAGAAATCACCTTTGCTCACTCTCCTACCCCATTCACTGAGGCAGGGTCTCTCAGTCAAACACAGAGTTTGCTGCTATGGCTAGTCTTGGCCAGCCAGCTTCCTCTAATGATCTCCTGTCTGCCTTCTGAGACTGGAATTACAAGAAACCATTGATCACTAGGTGGTGGTGGCACATGCCTTTAATCCCAGCACTCAGGAGGCAGAGCCCGGTGGATCTCTGTGAGTTCGACGCCAGCCTGGTCTACAGAGCGAGATCCAGGACAGGCACCAAGACTACACAGAAAAATCCTGTCTCAAAGAAAACTTTAAAAAAAAAAAAGAAAAGAAAGAAAGAGAGAAGGAAGGAGAGAGAGAGAGGGAAGGAAAGCATTGATCATTACTTGGATTCTGGGGTCTGAATTCTAGTCCCCACACTTGCATGGCAAGTGCTTTAACCACTGAGCCATCTTCCCAGCCACTTTGAATAACTCTAATATCTAAAGTATCACAAGGAAGAGATCAGAATTCAGTCAGAGTGGTGCACATCTGTCATGCTAGCATCTGTTTGTAGAAGCAGGATTAGAAACTGAATACCAACCATAGCTACATAGAGTTCTGAGCCTGAGCCACATGACACTCTCTTTCAAAAACAGAGAATCAAGGAGAAATAGAATACAAAACAGGAGGGAAGGTTACTTATGAATGCATTTGCATGAATTGCCCATTCAAAAAGCAAAGAAGATTATTTAACAATAAAACAAAGTCCTTAAGAAAGCTGGGAGATGCATGATGGTCTGAAACAATGTTTGTCTGTATTCGGCATCCGAGGATTAGCAAGAATACACAAGTAGCGCAGGAAGTATGCGGATAACTGTGCCATGAAGACAACATTTCTGACTAAAGGAGAGTGGGGAGGGGGCTCAGTTACTGAAGTGCTTTCTGTTCAGCCATGAGGATCTGCGTTCTGATCATGATCAGGGCACGTACTCTCTCCCCACAGCCTCTCTCTTTCTCTGCAGTTTTATACCCATTGAATCCATTCCGTGCTGCCTATGTGTGCAAGGGTGTGGGACCATCTACTGGAACATGGGTAGCTTCTCGGGGCCTGCATCCCTGGAGAAAAGTGACTATGTAGCCATCAGTTGCCAATACCGCCACAGATAGGGGTGACACTTCCCTCATCCATGCTAAGATTTGGGCTGGCTTGATCCTACACAGGTCTTGTGCATGCTCTCCCAGCCCCTGTGAGTTTGTGAGTGCAGTGGCTCTATCCAGTGGCAAATACTGATTCACTACAGTGGTCCACTCCCTCTGGCTCTTACAGTCTTTCTGCCCCCTTTTCCACGACGATCTCTGAGCCTTGTAGGGAAGGGATGTGATGTAGATATCCCACTTAGAGTTGAGCATTCCGAAATCTCTTATTCTCTGCCTGTTGACCAGTTGTTGTTGGCTGTATTCATCACCACCAACTTCAAAAAGAAGCTTCTCTGATGAAAATTGAGAGATGCACTGATCTATGAGTATAACAATAAGGACTTGGAGGGAAGTCTGTAACTGTCCATTTAACGGAATAATACTAGGTTCTCCCTTATGGCCTATGGTCTAGTCAGCTATAAGTTTTTAGCCCAGTTTATGGTACCAGGCATGTATGTGTTCTACCTTACAGAGCTGACTTTAAGTCCAATCAGAAAGTGGTTTATTGGGGAGGGGGGTAGAAATAGCTCAGCAGGCCGGGTAGTGGTGGCAAATGCCTTTAATCCCAGCACTCGGGAGGCAGAGGCAGGTGGATCTCTATGAGTTCGAGGCCAGCCTGGGCTACAGAGTGAGTTCCAGGAAAGGCGCAAAGCTACACAGAGAAACCCTACTCAAAAAAACAAAAAAAACAAAAAAAAAAAAAAGGAAAAAAAAAAGAAATAGCTCAGCAGTTAAGAGTATTGCTGCTCCTTGCAGAGGAACCCACATGGTGGTTCACAATAGTCTGTAACTCCAGTTCCAGGAGACCTGATGCCCTTTTCTGGCATCCACAGGCACCAGGGATGCACATGGTACAAATACATAAATGCAAGTTAAACGTGCATATACATCAGTCAATCAATAAATAAATGGAAAGGTTCATTTTTAAAAATTAGAAATTGGTTGGTTAGTCCCACAAATTTCATGTCACTATTGCACCTGTGGACGTACCTTGCTAGGCCATTTATAGCTGGCTAGGGTCACAGCTGGATATAAGACAGAGTGGGATTTTCTTCCCCAGTAGCAATGCATAGGACAGTTGATTTGTCTTTTTTTTTTTTTTTTTTTGGTTTTTCAAGACAGAGTTTCTCTGTGTAGCTTTGCGCCTTTCCTGGAACTCACTTGGTAGCCCAGGCTGGCCTCGAACTCACAGAGATCCGCCTGCCTCTGCCTCCCGAGTGCTGGGATTAAAGGCGTGCGCCACCACCGCCCGGCTGATTTGTCCATTTTTATTGCTAGTGTGATGTGACATGCAGATACTTTATTTTGATCCAAATGACCCAATAGCTGCTCTCATGCCATATACTTGAATGGTCTGTTCTTCCCTGATTTGAAATGTCCATGTTAGCAGAATCTATTTTGTTCTTCAAACCCATTTGTTTATCCTGCAGCTGTAGAGCTGTAACAATGTGACTTGTGAGATTCAACCTCCATTCTGTAGCTGATCTCCTTTAACCAGATTTCCCATCCTTCCTGGCCTGCCAGTGACCCTCTTCAAGATCAACTAGTAAAGTGAGGGAGCTGGCAGCCCGGAAAGTAGAGAGTAGGTTCCAGAGATGCTGGCTCCTCTCCATCTACCACAGCTGCTCCTCAGCTAAATAGGAGCTGGACACAGGGAATGAAAAAGCTCAAAACATTCATCTGGAATGTTCCTTGGCAATCTCACCCTGGCAGAGCACCTTTTCAGAGCTGGTAGTTTACTGAATGGGTCCCTCAATCTTGAACACACCCTGGGATTCTCCAGCAGGTTCTCCAAATATAACAAAACATAATATTTCCATAAATCAGTCCCCAATACATGTATCATTCATTGTATCGTGTGCAAAAATTATCCTTAACCCCGAGGGAGCCAGAACAGGACACGTGATGGAAACACCACTTCTCTTCACCAAACATTTATTAAGCATCTGTGCTTCTCAAAGAACAAGGCATCTTCTCTGTCTCTGCCAGGTTGGGCAGACTGAAGCCAATGTGAAGCCAATGGGCCTGTGCCCCAGGCACAAGACCCAGGCTGGAGCCTTCAGACAGACGCGCAGCTACCTCTAACAGGCTTAACAGTTGCTGAACCTACAACCAGAGTGCTGTGAGAACCTCCTCCTCAGGCCAGAAAGAACAGTGGGTACTCTTTGTCTTTCCTGGTCTCCTACAATGTCACAGCCCAAGGTGGGGTCACTCTCTGTTCTCGGGATGCGAAGGTTAAAAGACTTGCTGTCATGGAATGGAGATTTGTTTTTTAATGTTCGCAGGGGTGCTGATAAACAAAGGCAGTTAGTTAATGTTACTGAAAGTGGTAAGATGCTAGGGACAAGCTTGGAGCTCTCTTCCGCTCACTCCCCTCTGCAGCGCTGAGGACAGAACGTAGCACCTCATGGGCACAAGGCTAGCATGCTGCTGCTGCTCTACCAC